CCCGCTCACCCGCCGCAGTCCGGTGCAAGGCCCCCTCCGGGAGGTGAGGGGAATGGCTTGGACTCCGGAGGGGACGGCGGGTCCAGAGCGGTGCTGCTAATGGGGAGAGATCGCCGGTTTCCGAAGAGGATGCTCGGGCACAAAGCGCGGCTGGCGCGCTGGCCTGGGCTCTAGCGGCCGAGAGATCCCGGGAGAACTCCGGAGCTCGCGGGGCGCGCTCCTCCGAAGACTGGGTCAACATGCCTGTTCGCAGGGGGCATGTGGCACCACAAAACACATTTCTGGGGACCATCATTCGGAAATTTGAAGGGCAAAGTAAGTTTATTTGTTCTCTTCTCTCTCCCTTGCTCTCTGCTTTGATAGTGCACTTGGCGTCCACCGCTTCCAAACCGTGGAAAGCGGCAACTCCAGGCTCTGTCAACTTAGACGCTGAGATACCGAGCCAGGAGGTTCGACTGGCAGCTGGAGTGTCCTCCCTGATATTAATTTTGATTTACATTTTAGATTACGGTTTCCATTATAACAGGCAATTTGATCCCTCCTCTCCCCCTGCTCCATTATCCTGCTTGCTACTTAAGGTCCTACTAGTCTACTATCTTAAAGGGAACGTGCCAGGGTAGCCTGGGTTTGCATGTTGATGCTGTTTGTAGGGTAGACTTTTTCAAAGTCAGGAGCAGGCAAAGCAGCGATGCAAATGGCTATACAAACTATATTTGCCTTGACTGAATTGCTGGGCTGTGCCATACCTGGGAAGCTTGCTGGCCTTTACTTGACAGAAGCTAAACTTTGCATTAAATCAATGCAAATATACCCCAAGCAGGGGCATTTGGATAAACCATAACCGGTTCAGGCTGGATCCCCAGACAAGTAGCTCATTATTTAAAAGATCTATTTCTGGCCCTTTTATTATCCTCTTAAAATTTCCACCTAGAAATTTAGAAATTGAGGTGTAATAAGTAAATCCCACCAAGAATAAATGTGGAGAAGTTTAATGTTCTCATGTGGAGTTAATTATAATTATCAGTGTTACATAAATATATTAGTTTGAGATCCTGTATTTGCTAACTTATATTGACCCTTACTTGTAACCACATGAACATATGGTTATTTGAAATCATGTTGCATAATTTACTGTTGTTAGGCATTATATCATATAATATTATAAATTTGCTTAATGTTGTAAGGATCTGGTAACTTGTGCTCCAAATGAACTTGTGTATTCTCTTTCACATTTTATCTGGAGAAGTAAATACCATCTGACTATAATTAACAAACCTTCTGTATTAAAATTTTTATTATACAAAAACTCAACGTTTTCCCAATTCAAGGTAAAAGCGAAAATATTTTAAAGTTTTATCACATTTACGGTATGGTGTAACTGTTTTTATCTTCTGGAAAACATAACCTAGGAAAAGGTGAGCCTTCGCATCATCACACTGCTAAGAAATTTGAAATCATGTGGCAAAGACTAATTTTTTTTCATAATGTGGGATGCATTAGAGGGACAGAAAAAAACCCAAATCTAAGAATCATAGCTACTTTGAGAAAGTTGTATTCCAAGGAATAACCAAGGTTGAAGTAAGAAATCTGACAGTTACAGGATCTTTCACTGTTTTGACTTTGAAATTATTTGCCATAAAATTAATGGCTGTTTGTGCCTAGAGTTCTTTGGTTACCCTGGGACTAGCAGGGTTTGAGACCTGAACTATTCGGGAAATTACGTTCTCATAATTTGGAGAGTGATACTTTCATTCTTTTGTTAGAATCACTCTGGCCCATTCATTCCAAGAGTTTTTTCTTCTTCTTCTTTTTGTAACGCTCTAAGCAGTTAGAAATTTGGGGGTGTACCTAAATTTCAAACCTCCTATCATGCAACACATTTCCCCAGTGTTTATGAGAATCCTGTAAAAAGCTTTTGTAAAGATGCCTTCCTGTTTTTATTATTACAGATAAAAAATTTATCATTGCAAATGCCAGAGTGCAGAACTGTGCCATCATCTACTGCAATGATGGGTTCTGCGAGATGACTGGTTTCTCCAGGCCAGATGTCATGCAGAAGCCTTGCACCTGTGACTTTCTCCATGGACCCGAGACCAAGAGGCATGATATTGCCCAAATTGCTCAAGCGTTGCTGGGATCGGAAGAGAGGAAAGTGGAGGTCACATACTATCACAAGAACGGTAACGTGTACCCATTCAGGATTCCTTGTATTTGCCCATTTGATTCCATTGAAATGAAATGTAGAAAAATGATGACTGAAAGTTTATATGTTGAGAAACTTCAACTGTTTGGTGGCTATAAGATTTATTTGTAGTATTTTAAGATCCATTAGTGGACTATAGAAATTTTTTCTTTGAAGAAGGCAGCTCTATCTGAACTCTCTCCAAAGTGCAGTAACCTAGTGCCAACCAGGGCAAAATGCTGCAAATTACTCTTACCTTCACCTCTCTAAGCAATGGTATGAAGTGTAATAATTTACTGTTTGCTTTGATTTGTGTTTGCTTAGAGCGGAATGTAAAGAGCTTTAGGTGCTTAAATTTGAAATTATTCCACAATGCAAGTCTTGTTGAAAACTGTCTAACTGAAGCAATTTTAGTAATATCATAAATGTTTCTTGGATACTCAGCTTTACTTGATAGACAACACCTCTGGTTTCTTCTGCTCCATTTTATGCAAGACTGAGTGTGACATATAGGGGTTCCTGAAATTGATCCAATAGCCTTAGGTATTTTCAAACAATAAAGGTGGTTAAAATCAGCTTTTGTCCTGATGTAAGAAATGGAGAAAAGACTCGTAGAAGTATGTGTATTCATTTTCACTGCTGCAACAAAACTGAGGCTTCAAACTTTAAGGTCATACCTCAACTTCAAGGACACTTTTCCACCTTTCAAATTTGCAATGGAAGCATAAATATAAAGGTTTTAAAAACATACATTTAATGCGCTTTTATGCACAAATCATACTCTGCACATACTCATGTGTATGAAATATCCCCCACTTTTAAAAAGTTTATTTTACACCACTTTGCTTTTAGGAAAGACTGCTTTTGCTGATAGAAAGAAATCCAAAGAGGGTTTTTGCTTTCCTGAAATAAGGCAAAGAGAAACTAGCATTCAGCTTTGCTTTGCAGTGAGCATTCAAGAGTAGTGGGGAGAGTGGTGTCTTCAAGACCCTTCATCAGGGACTACACTCAGCATCTCAGCTTCTGAGCACCATCGCTTTCAACTATGCATGTGAACACTGCGTGCTAGTGTTATGTTAGGTTTTATGTGCTCATTGATGTGATTTTTAGGTTACTTTTTGGATGTGAGGACTGTCATGGTTTCTAATATACATTAATGGCAATTGTTTCTCCCTTTTATGTCATTTTTGCCTTAAAGAATGTTTCATAGGAATTCTGTATTTTTGAATAGTGAGGGGGGAGCCTGTATACTCATATGTACATTCTCAAAGGTGCACACTGAATGACAGTTGGCTTAAAGATAAGTCAATTAAAAACTAGGGAAACATGCACTTAATTTTCCTGATATCATATCATCATTGATTTAGTTCTTCTTGATTGAAAGAAATTAATGAGGTAAAGGCATAGCATACTGTCTAGAATTTGAAAATCTTAGACTTTTATAAATGTGTGATATACTGTAGCTTAGATCATATAATGACTCATCATTTGGTAAGCTACAGAGGAAAAATTCCAGCAGGGAAAAGGTTTAATTCTTCCTGTTACCTTCTTATAATTACATGATAATTGAATATTTTTAGGATTTATTTGAGTGTGTATACTCAACAACCTATTATTGGAAATAAACAGATTTGTCTAAGTTTAGCTTAATCTAGGAAAAATGATATGATTGTATCAAACAGCGTAGACATCACTTTTTAAGTTTTTTCCTAATGTTTTTTCACTCTTCAATTAGTTTGGTTGCCAGACTAGAAATAGCCTAATTGATCCTTTGTCTTGAAAGCATTTCTTGGACTGAAGCTCTCACTATCCAAATGCAGCTCGTGCTCTGATGCCAACAATCTGGACTTTCAGAATGATTTCAGTGTCTGGTATTCTTTTTTCTTCATCTGATTATCTAACATGATGTTGACACAGCCTACACTGTGGTTGCTACAGGAAATGTTGAGACATGCTGGGTTATTAATTTTGGAGGGCGATTTCAGACGTTTTTTTATCAACTTACATAATTGATGTTTACAATTACCCCAAACTCTCCAAATAAAATGAACCTAACCATATTTTTCAGAAAGTGTTTTCCTATGGAAGTTTAATTTATTACCCTGAAAGAGTAAGGGTGGTCCATCGAAAGCTGGTTAACTTGCATAATGTGAGTGTAGCAAACACTTAAAAATAATTCAAGGTGAAAGCAAGCATGAGTGTAAAAACATATACGTATAGTGAAGATGATAGTGGGTTGAATAATACAAATCCTCCTGAGTTTTTTGTTGTGCTATACAAATTAAAATTTCCGTATTGTTAGCAGGGAATTCTTATTTGTTTGTTTAGACATAGGAACATCTACATTTGGTGACAATTTGACTTCTGTTGGCTTCATTTTTAGATGTTATTTAATCTACAAAACCTTGGATATCGTTAGCGTTAATGATAATCTCTGTCTGTTTAGTGTCATCTTATGTGGGAATTGAAGTGATGGGTCAAGCACCTTCCTTCCTTTTCTTTCCCCAATGTAAAAAACAAAAACAAAAAGCTAATTTGAATGACCTTTTTAGAATCTGAAGATACAGTCTTGCTTATTTGCTTTGAGTGTCATAAACTTGAACTTTCATTACTTGCACACTTACCTTGAATAGAATCTTCAGAGTTTATCGGTTTTATTCTCACGGCAACTACAAATAAATCAGGGCTTGAAAGTTTAAATACTTTGAATGGTTTGCCTCTTAAAGAGCTGCTAACCCCTCTGCATTTATAAAAGCAGGAAAGGGAAGAAATCATCATTTCCCCTGGTTTGTCTCACAAAGTTTGCTGATGACTCTCTTATGAAGATAATGTGCTTGCAAGTGGTTCTTGACAGAACCCAGTGAATGTGCCCTTTCTTCATTCTGTTATTCAGTATTTCACCGGAATATGAGGAGTGATATCATATGCACAATGAGCAAATTAACAAGTTGAGATATTCTGCTCCATTTGTTTTTCCTGTTTACTCCTATGAGAGTAGCAAAAATATGGGCAAAGTATTAATCACAAAAGCTTGTTTTTCAATGGTGCCCAGAGGCTTTGTGAACAGTCCAAATCCATGGCCTGCGCCATGCGTTCAAATTGATACAGTGTACAGCGAGCGGCATGATCCCCATTGTGAAGCAACATTCCCTACTATGCTCTTTTAATGTGATTTCATGAGATTGCATCAGAAGGGTTGTTTATCAGAATATAAAAATTTTAAAACCCCAGTTAACTGCAGTAGAAATATTTGACACCCCTCCCTCTGAGGATTCTATTCTACAATTTGAGTCATGACTTCACAAATCACTCTTGGCAGCTGTGAAGTATTACTTCAGGTGATAAAACTGTAAATCTTTTGACATAAACCTCTAATTATGCAAAATTACAATTTCACAGAGGCATATATAAAGGGGAGCATATATTTAATAACATACTACCTGACTAGCAGCAGTGTTGGGGAAACAGCAAATATTTCAATTGCTAATGGGTTCATGGTTTTGGAGAGGATATTAGTAGTAGGGAAACAGAAAAGTGTACTAGGTCATCCCTTAATTTACAGCTTACCTGATTTGGGCGTATAATAGAATAAAGCTAGCTAGTCAAAATGCTAAACCACTTTAAGGATGTGTTAATATGGGATGCTAATCTTAATATTTAGCAACTCTAAATATTTGGAATATAAAAGTAAGTTTCACCAAGAAAAAGAAAGGTCATTACTCTAAGGAATTATGGTTGAAATGTCTGAATTTTATTTTTTTAAGTTGTAGTTTGTTTGAAAGTTGACAGAGTATATTAGCTTTCCACTCAGTAATTCATACATATTTTGTTGTGTGAGAACTGTAAGGGTGTTCTTATAGTTTGCGATCGTTCCTTCAGACCCAAAGCGATGGCAACTGTGTTAACAAATCAGAAACGCACAGGGCTACTTTTCCTATCATTAATGCTGCTTAAAGAACTAAAAGATAAAAAGGAGCTGAACAGGATACCACTCAGATTGGGAGCAGCACAAAGTCATCGAAGCAATGTTCATTTCAGCTAAACTCAGAAAAGGTCTTGGTTGGACAGTACCGAGCAAACCTCACTGTGAGCGCTGCATTACTATGTGTAAAAGTTCACATGCTTATCAAGTGAAGGATTTTGTATTCTTTGAAGAATTGAAACCCTTTTGGGACTCCTGGCTTGTGGTCATCACTCACTTTGCTTAGTAATAGGAACTGTTGTTTGTTGCTGTCAAATCGGTACTGACTCATGTGCAGACCGTAGCTGCCTTAAAGGGTTTTCAAAAGGCAGATCACCAGCTCTCTCCTCCAAAATACCTCTGTGGAAATCGGAAATCTTTCATGTACTTAACCATTTTTGCAACCCTGAAAGTGTCCTGGTAGTGTGATGGGCTGCGAAGTCATAATGTTAGTATAGCTGTGGAGTGTCTATCTCCCAAGGCTCAAGATGTTCTCAAGAAATTGCTTTCTAAAAAAAAGAATATATAAACTCTAAAATGAAAAAGGCTTCCTAGAAAAGAAAGCTTTAGAACTTAGGGTCAATTACCCCTCAGTATCTACATCTCAACTCAGAAATGAATATCTTGAGGTACATATATATACTGCTACCTTTTGTCCTTTCTGCTTAATAATAACTCGATGAAGAGAAATTGAGCTTCATTAAAGTTTTAATAGTCTGACATAAATCCTAGGATAAAGCGTTATATGTGTTGTAGGCGTATTAAATGTTTAGCTCCCCTAAATCCTAGATTATTAGTAGAGACGAATGCTAGTTTTTAGACTAGGACAGAAATACATTGTATGTGTGTGCAATTCAAGCAATGAGAATGATATTTCAGTAGTGTGCTGCCTCGAATTTGTTCCTGGAATTAATTTTAATTTCATAGTTCTACATTTGAATATTTTAATGAGCAGAAGATTGTGACAATTTTATTGTTAGGCTTGGACCCACAGCGACCCTATGCTCCATAAAACAAACCAGTGCCCATTCCTGAGC